TCAGAAAATTTACCATTTTTAAATGTACTGTTCAGTGAACTTTTGTAAATTTCTGGAGCTGTGTATCTGTTAGCACAATCCAGTTTTGAGTATATCTCATTAGCACACAAAAGATTTTTCATGCCTGATTGATTTTATTTTGTTTGTAGTGCTATTGCTGTTGCCTAAGTTTTAACTTTCCCAGGGTATGAATGACATCCAGGCTGGATGAAATAAAATCAAAGTATTGTTACTTTATCCTCTGTATGATTAGTTTGAGAAAGAATTCTTCATTAAACCTTGTTTTGTTTTTTAGTGAGATTGAGTCCTAGCTTTTTGCTGAAGAAAATTTAAAATAGCTAAATTTTATATAGAATATTATACAATCATATCTTTTTTTTTAAGATTTATTTATTTATTTGAAATACACAGAGAGAGAGAGAGAGAGAGGTCTTCCATCCGCTGGTTCACTCCTCAATTGGACGCAGTGGCCGGAGGTGCGCCGATCCGAAGCCAGGAGCCTCTTCCAGGTCTCCCACACGGATGCAGGGGCCCAAGGACTTGGGCCATCTTCTGTTGCTTTCCCAAGCCATGGCAGAAAGCTGGATCCGAAGTACAGCGGCCTGGTCTTGAACTGACGCCCATATGGGATGCCGGCACTCCAGGAGGCAGCTTTTCTTGCTATGCCACAGCACTGGCCCTGTGATCATATCTTAAATTAATAATTTTTAAGGCCGGCGCCGCGGCTCAATAGGCTAATCCTCTGCCTAGCGGCGCCGGCACACCGGGTTCTAGTCCCGGTCGGGGCGCCGGATTCTGTCCCGGTTGCCCCTCTTCCAGGCCAGCCCTCTGCTGTGGCCAGGGAGTGCAGTGGAGGATGGCCCAGGTGCTTGGGCCCTGCACCCCATGGGAGACCAGGAAAAGCACCTGGCTCCTGGCTCCTGCCATCGGATCAGCGCGGCCGCAGCGCGCCAGCCGCGGCGGCCATTGGAGGGTGAACCAACGGCAAAGGAAGACCTTTCTCTCTGTCTCTCTCTCTCACTGTCCACTCTGCCTGTCAAAAAAAAAAAAAAATTAATAATTTTTAGAGTTTTAAAGAAAAAGCTATGCATTGACAACTTGAGAATTAGCAGAAATTAAGTAACCTGTAATTGGAAATTAAGTAGCTATTAGTTGGGGGAAAAAGTGCTAGAGCCTGCATCCTATTAGAGCTTAGAAAGTATGTAACCCCTCGCACCCAACACAGTTATTGCCTGGGAAAGCAGTAGAAGATGGCCCAAGTCCTTGGGCCCTTGCACCCATGTGGGAGACCCAGAAACTTCGGGCTCCTGCCTTCGGAATGGCACAGCTCCAACCATTGCGGCCAACTGGGGAGTGAACCAGTAGATGGAAGACCTCTCTCTCTCTCTCCCTCTTTCTCTCTCTCTCTGCCTCTCCACTCTTTGTGTAACTTTGACTTTCAAATAAATAAATAAATCTTAAAAAAAAAAAAAAGTGCTATGTGGAGATAATTTGAGTATGAACAAAGTATTCATGTGACTGCAGTTTTATTTAATGATGTAATGAAAAGTTAAAACCTGTTCGACTTTAATCCTGATACTTTAGAAATATCTGTGTCCTTCTGAAGTTATTCTTTTAAGTACATTTTGAAGATACTATTTTCTGTGTGTTTTGTTAAAGTCATTGATTTTGTTTTAGTGTGAACCATAGGCTCTCACATTGGCGGAAACTTTATTTGACTTAAATTGTAGGAAATAATAAAGTCTAGTGATTAAGTGACTTTGAAGGAGACTTCTAAGTTCTCTTATTTTTAATTCTTACTTATTTTCATTTTTATTTTAAAGGCAGAGAGCTAGAGATCTTGCATTTGATAGTTTATTCCTCAAATGCCCATTTACAGCTGGGACTGGGCCAGGCCAAAACTAGAACCTGGAATTCATCAAGGTCTCCCATGTGGGTGGCAGGAACCCAAGTACGGGAGGCATCGCCTGCTGCCTCCCATGGTGCACATTAGCAGGACACTTACTGAGAAGTGGAGTAGCATGTACTCAAGATGGGCACTCATAATGAGATACAGGTATCCCAAACATTGACTTCACCAAATGTCTGCCGCTTAGGGCTCTAATCCTGACTAGGATTACTTTGTTGGCAAGTAATGAACTTCTCTAAGCCTCAGTTTTGTTATTTATTAAACTAAATAAAAGAGTTGCTTGTTTGTTTACTTCTTAATGCTGTAATAATGAGATGGTGGATGTTAACACTCTGATTGTAGCAGCAGGTGTTGTGCAACTAGGTTGGCTGCTTGCAACACCCATACCCCATATTAGGATGTTGCTTTTCTTTTGATCCAGCTTCCTGTTAATTTGCCTGGGAATGCAGCAGAAGATAACCTAAGTCCTTGGGTCTCTGCCTCCCATGTAGGAGACTTGGAGGAGTTCTGGGCTCTTGGCTTGGGCCTGACCCAGCCCTGGCTGTTCCACACTTTTGGGGTATAAACCAGTGAATGGGGAGAAAAATAAAGCAAGGAGGAGAGAAAGAGTAAGCAGATAGAGAGCTGGTAGATGATCAGAAGAAGACCTTATTATAGAGTTGAGTGGCTGAGCCTTAAAGAAATGAAGAAAAGATATTCCAGCTTAAGGAAATAGCAGTAGCAGTAACAATAAGCTGACACATGTACTGCTGTGTGCTAAGAACTGTATACGTACTTTACATATATTAACTAATTTAGTCCTTAAAGTGGCTAAAAAATGGAAACTAAGCAGTTGGCACTGAGTCCATCTTCTTAGGAGTTACTATATAGTGTATTAGTTAAGTTAAGGCAAGACAGTGTAGAGAAATAGCTAGGCTGTGTTAGAGGAATTGCTAGCTTGGTGTGAATAGAGCAAAATAAATAGAATGGTAGGAGCTAAGATTTCAAGTGGTGGGAATTGGGAAGGTGATGTGGTCAGAACTTAAGCCATTGTAGAGACTGAACTTTTATAGAGAGCCATCAGAAGTTTTTGTAACAGGGAAGTGATACGATCTAGTGAGTTCTTGGGCCCTTCCTCCCAGTCTGTGAGTAGAGCTCAAGAGGACTCCTCCTTTTCCTCCCCCTCCTGTTCCTTTCTTTCCTCCTCTTCTTCCCCCTTCTCTCCTTCCCTCTTCCTTCTCCTCCTCTTCTCCCTCTTCATCCTCTTCCCTTTCCCCTTCCTCTTCCTCCTCCACCACCTTCCTCCTCCTTTCATTCTCCCTCCTCTTCCTCCTTTCATTCATTCTCCCTCTTCCTTCTTCTTCAGATTTATTTATTTATTTGAAAGTCAGGGCCAGAGAGAGAGAGTCTGTAGAGACAGAAAGATCCTCTGTCTACTGGTTTACTTCCCAGATGGCTATAGCAGCTAGGTCTGGCCAGGCCGAAGCCAGGAGCTGGGAGCCTCATCCTGGTCTCCCACATGGGTGACAGGGGCCCAAATACATGGCCATCTTCTGCTACTTCTCCCAGGCTACCAGTAGGGAGCTGGGTAGAAGTGGAGTAGCTGGGACATATGTGTCAGAATTGTACAAAGTGCCTACTTGGGATGCTGCATCTCAGGTAGTGGCCTCACCTGATAAATCGCAATGGCAGCCCCTATTTATACTTCTAATTGAAACAGTATTTCCTTCATTTAGGGTGTAGCCAGTGAATCACAGTAGTACTGTTAAAGTTACCTGTGATTTTTTTTTTTTTTTACTATCAAAAATCACTTCATTAGTTTGAAATATTATTGTTACAGTCCTGCTAGGTCCCATTTGATGTAACAATAAATACATTCTAATGACATTTTACATAAATATGTGGATTATTTTTTTACTTACATGTTAACATAATTGGTTTTCTTGGGAATCTTATGTATTTCTTTTGTGTATTTAAAAACATTACCTGAAAAGTGTCCATTGATTTCACCAGGCTGCCAAAGGACTCTGTAGCATACAAAAATTTAGACTGCCTATAAGAATTACTCTGATTGCTATAAGAATAGACTGGGGAAGAAGATATTTAGAAATAGCTTGAACTTGTGGAAATGGTGTCGTTTCTGAACGTTGGAGTCTTTTACAGTGAGCATGTATCCAGGTATTTTAAAAATGAGAAAAATGTTAGAAAATAAGAGATTGGTTACTTGTCAGAATAGTTATGGGAACATTAGAAAAAGCTAATCCATATGTTGCAAACACAGAAGAGTTTTGAATATTTACTTATTTATTTATTTGGAAGGCAGAGTTCAGAGAGGCAGAGAGAGAGAGATCTTCTGTCACTGGTTCACTCCTCAAAAGGCCGCAACAGCTGGAGCTGGGCCAATCCAAAGCCAGGAACCAGGAGCTTCCTCCTGGTCTCCAATGCAGGTGTGGGGCCCAAGTACCTGGACCAGCCTCTACTGCTTTCCCAAGCCATAGCAAAGAGCTGGATTGGAAGTGGAGCAGCTGGATCTCGAACCAGCGCCCATATGGGATGTCGACACTGTAAGCCTTGTCCCCTACGCCACGGCGCCAGCCCCACATGGAAGAGTTTTAAGATCTATAAAGTGAACCAAAATAAGATGAAGAATAGAATAGATGAATCTGTCAGTATTGTACAAAGTTTACTTTTAGAGAAAGAGACTGTGCATTCAGGAAGGCTCCCTTAACCCTTTTTCTTTGAAAGCAGTTGAATTTACTAACCTTGTACATGTATTGTTTTTAAAAATGTCATTAGTTCATGTGGGGGTGAGATTATGAGCTCTTTGGTATACCTCTATATTTTAATAAACCTTATATCTGTTTTTAGAATTTTTATTTATCCACGTTATAAATTGAATGATATTAGAGATTTTAAAAAGTTTGGAATATAACTGTGAAATGAAGATAGAAAATTTTATAGTATGATAACATCTTTATTAGCGGTAAAATAAGACTGTACATAAATGACTAAAAGTAAAGATTAGGAATTTACAGTAAAATGTAAATAATGATTTATTCTGGTGATGGAATTTGGGCTGATTTAAAAACATTTTCCCTTAAATTTTTTGCAGACTATGAGAAGACAACGAAATGAAGTTGTAGTTGAATTAAGGAAGGTAAGTCGGATTAATACTACCAGGTATAATTTTAACAAAATATATATATAAAATGTAAATTATATTTTTATGTAAAATATGTTAACTGTTGTATAACTACATTTTATTTGCTGAGTGTGGTTAAGATTTTTGTGACTCTTAGGTGCTTTAGCATTTATTTTTCTTTTGAAGTAAAAGATTTTCACTAAATTCAACAACGTATTGAGGATAACAAGGCAGAACTTACCTACTGTCCAAAAATGGCTATAAACAGCAACTTAACATGTTTTTTGTTTTGTCATTTTTAATGATTTATATAACGTGTAAATCATAGAGATACAGTTATGCTAAATAATTTTGCTATTAAAAGATAGTAGAGAACTTGGGCCAGCGCTGCGGCTCAATAGGCTAATCCTCCGCCTTGCGGTCCCGGCATACCCGGTTCTAGTCCCAGTCGGGGGGCCGGATTCTGTCCCTGTTGCCCCACTTCCAGGCCAGCTCTCTGCTATGGCCTGGGAGTGCAGTGGAGGATGGCCCAAGTCCTTGGGCCTTGCACCCCATGGGAGACCAGGAGGAAGCACCTGGCTCCTGGCTTGGGATCAGCGCGGTGCGCCAGCCGCAGCGTGCTGGCCGCGGCGGCCACTTGGAGGGTAAACCAGCGGCAAAAGGAAGACCTTTCTCTGTCTCTCTCTCTCACTGTCCACTCTGCCTGTCAAAAAAAAAAGATAGTGGAGAACTTGTCAGTTACAGATTTTATCAATTTTTTTTTTAACGATTACTTACTTGAAAGAGTTATGGAAAAGGAGAAGCAGAGGCAGAGAGAATAGCTTGGTTCACTCCCCAGGTGGCTGCAAAGATCAGGGTTTGGCCAGGCCGAAGCCAAATAAAGGTCCTGGCATCTCCCAGTGCAGGGACCCAAGGACTTGGGCCATCTTCCACTGCTTCCCAGGCACATTGGCAGGGAGCTGGATCAGAAGTGGAACAACTGGGACTTGAACCAGCACCCATAAAGGATACTGGTGTGGCAGGCGGCAGCTTTACCTGCTGTAGCACAGCACCAACCCCAAATTTCATCGATTTTTAAAGAATGAAAATAGGTTACAGTTAAATGTATTTTTAATTTGCCCAGACATTTTAAGTGAAATCCAAATAACCCTTGATTTTCGTAAAGCATGGTTGGTTTTTGCCTGATTTTGAACTTCCCAACTTTTGCTTTGACTCTACTTTTAGGTGATAAAGAGAAGCTCCCCGATGATGTGTAAAATACATTCTTAAATGCACATATGTTTGGTTCTCACTTAAACGGTACATTGTCTTTTTAGTTATACTTCTTGTTTTGTTTGTTTTTATGTGGTTCACGGTTCATTAAAAATGTAATATTTGGGGTCTGGGCCTCATTGTTGCTTAAGGGTTTAATTCACAGTTTGGTTTACTATTTGGCATTTGAATTTTACTTTCAAAAGGCACGCCATTCAGTTTGTAGGCACAGGATTGCCTAACTTACAAATGTATGTAGCGTTTTTTTTTAAATGAGATTCTTTGATTTTTTTTTTTTTAAAGAATAAAAGAGATGAACATCTCTTAAAGAGAAGGAATGTACCGCATGAAGATATCTGTGAAGACTCTGATATAGATGGTGATTATAGAGTGGTAAGTTGTTAATATTGTGCTGATTCAATGAAAGTTTTACATAAATAATGGAATTTTAAGATGGCTTTTAATTAATTTCTTTTTAACTTTTTTCCCAGCAAAATACCTCTCTAGAAGCTATTGTTCAAGTAAGTTGGGATTTATTTTCTCTGTTTATTTGTTAGACTTGATACTAATTACTGTGCATTTACAACATAAAATTATTTTATTTTTTATAGAATGCTTCAAGTGATAACCAAGGAATTCAATTAAGTGCAGTTCAGGCTGCTAGGTAAGTTAAATTTTGAGGACATGTTTCAGTTAAAACTTGAACAGAGGTTTTATTTTGAGTTGTTAACTATGTGTAATCCTATGAATCAGTGTTAGCTTTGATGGCAGATAATAGAAAACAGTCATAGATCATTTATCCTAAAAAAAATGTTCTCTGATTCAGAGTATTAAAACTGTTAGCAATGAACTGTGTACTTTCAACACATTTTCTGCGCTGAAAGGTGTACTTTAAATACATTGAAGCTTTATTCTGCATAATATATAGGTATTATGATAGGAAAAAGGTCACTTGACAGATCAGTGCCACAGAGTGGTAGAAAAACATCATTTGCAAAGCTTCTTTTGCTAACAGTTAACCAAGTAGCTAATTCTTCTCACAATGTTTATATTAATCAAGCAGTACATAAAGAATTATGAACTCACTGCATCAGTGTATGGACAAATAGACATTAAGATTTAGAGGTGCATATGCTCTCGGTGTCTAACTCGGCTGGAAATACCAAATTATCTTGCACATTTCTGTTACAAACTTAAGTTTCATATTTTAAGGGAAGAGCCAGAAAAAGTTAACTACTGAGATCTTTGCATAAACAGATAGGTTGAGAAAGATACAGTTGTATCATAATCCAACATAGTGGTTGCTTTGTATATTTATGAATATAAGAATAATACCTTATGTTGTGATTATCAGTGGGAAAGAGACCTTATACAGGAAATTGATCCTAGTTGCAGAGTTTCATAATAGGGGCTGATTGTGGTACAGCCAGGTAAATCAACTCTGGCAATGCAAGCATCCCTTTATCAGAGTGCCATTCACATCCCAGCTTCTCTGCATCTGATCCAGCTCCGTGCTGATGTGCCTGTGAAGGCATCAGATGGTGACTCAAGTGTTTGGGCCCTTGCTGCCCATGTGGGAGCTCTGGATGTAGTTCCAGGCTCCTGGGTTCAGCCCTGCCCAGCCCCAATCATTGTGGCCATTTAGGGAGTAAACCGTTAGATGGAAGATTACTATCCACCCCCTCCTTCATTTTCCCACTCTTTCCCACTGCCTTTCAAATAAGTAAAATTTTTTTTTAAATTTCTAAGTAGAAAAAGATTACATAGGCCCATTCAGTGTCTTGTTTAGTAAATGAATCCCTTTTATAATTATTTGACTTTTCCTACCTTGTGTATTTACCTTAATCTAGAACAGATAGGGACATTATAGAATTACAGTGTTAGACGTACCACAGATAAAAATAACTTCTAAAGACTTTTTCATGCAGGAAAGAATTATAGAACTATTCATATCTCAAAATGGCAATTGATGTTTATACGAAGAATGATAAAGAATCGGTTATGCTTGGGGACCCACACTGTGCCATAGGCTGGCATCCCATATGGATGCACACTAGTCTCAACTGCTCCATATCCAATCTAGCTCCCTACTAATGTATCTGGGAAAGCAGGGCAAGACAGCCCAAATAATTGGGCCCCTGCACCCATTATGGGAGATCTGGAAGATCCTTGCTCCTGGTTTCAGATCTGACCATTTCAGTCCGTTGCGGCCATTTGGGGAGTGAACTAGTGGGTAGAAGATCTCTCTTTCTGTAACCCTGCCTTTCAAACAAATAAATAAATATTAAGAAAAACTTAAGTTGTCTTAAAAATAAAAAATCAGTTAATGCTCGCAGTTGTCCAAGTTAATGGACTATTCTTTCCAACATGAGTTCTGCATGAAAATTAAAGCCCAGTGCCCCTGAAACAGAGATTCTCAGAGTACTGTCTGGAACCTTGGGAGATCCTGAGACAGTTTCAGGAGTCTGAAAGAATAGTCTGGTTTTCACAATAATTCTGAGACTTGACTTGCCCTTTTTTGTGGTACTAACCTTTATGTTGGTGTTGCAGAAGCACTTACAGATTTAAAACTTCTGGTACCTTAGTATAATTTAAGATAGTGGCACCAAACAAACTTTTTTTTTTTTTTTTCATTTTCGATTCTCTTTATATACAGAAGATCAGTTTAGCATACATTAAGTAAAGATTTCAAGTTTGCTCCCACACAGAAACATAAAGTGAAAAATACTGTTTGAGTACTAGTTATAGCATTAAATCACAATGTACAGCACACTAAGGTCAGAGATCCTACATGAGGAGTGAGTGCACAGTGACTCCTGTTGTTGACTTAACAAATTGACACTCTTGTTCATGGCCTCAGTAATCACCCTAGGCTCTTGTCATGAGCTGCTAAGGCTATGGAAGCCCCCTGAGTTCACCGACTCTGATCATATTTAGACAAGGCCATGGTCAAAGTGGAAGTTCTCTCCTCCCTTCAGAGAAAGGTACCTCCTTCTTTGATGACCCGTTCTTTCCACTGGGATCTCACAGAGATCTTTCATGTAGTTCCCCCCTCCCCCCCCAGAGTGTCTTGGCTTTCCATGCTTGAAATACTCTCATGGGCATTTCAGCCAGATCTGAATGCCTTAAGGGCTGATTCTGAGGTCAGAGTGCTGTTTAGGACATCTGCCATTCTGTGGGTCTGCTGTGCATCACACCTCCCATGTTGGATCGTTCTCTCCCTTTTTGATTCTATCAGCTAGTATTTGCAGACACTATTCTTGTCCATATGATCCCTTTGGTTCTTAGTCCCATCATTATGATCAATTATGAACAGAAACTGATCACTGGGACCAGTGAGATGGCATTGGTACATGCTACCCTGATGGGATTGAATTGGAATCCCCTGGTATGTTTCCAACTCTACCGTTTGAGGCAAGTCAGCCTGAGCATGTCCCAAATTGCACATCTCTTCCCTCGCTTATTCCCACTCTTATATTTAACAGCGATCACTTTACAGTTAAGTTTCAGCACTTAAGAATAATTGTGTATTGATTACAGTATTCAACCAAAAGTATTAAGTAGAACAAACAAAAAAATACTAAGAGGGATAACATATTAAGCTGCTCATCAACAGTCGGGGTGAGGGCTGATCAAGTCACCATTTCTCACACACAAACAAACTTTATAAAATAATGTTGTATTCAGCATTATACCCTCAAAGAATAAAAACCACTTCTCTTTCAAAATGTCCTCAATGAAGGAGTAAAAAAAAATTTTTTTGTTAAATCTTGACCCTTGGTCTCATGGATCTTCAGTTGAAAGAGACTAGGTTAAGATTCTTTATAAGCATGTGGTATGGAAAAACACTTTTCGTAGCATTTGTTTTTTTTTTTTTTTTTTTTTTTTTTTGACAGGCAGAGTGGACAGTGAGAGAGAGAGACAGAGAGAAAGGTCTTCCTTTGCCGTTGGTTCACCCTCCAATGGCCGCCGCTGCAGCCGGCGCACCGCGCTGATCCTGGCAGGAGCCAGGAGCCAGGTGCTTTTCCTGGTCTCCCATGGGGTGCAGGGCCCAAGCACCTGGGCCATCCTCCACTGCACTCCCTGGCCATAGCAGAGGGCTGGCCTGGAAGAGGGGCAACCGGGACAGAATCCGGCGCCCCAACCGGGACTAGAACCCGGTGTGCCGGCGCCGCTAGGTGGAGGATTAGCCTATTGAGCCACGGCGCCGGCTCACATTTGTTACAATTCATTCTCTGTAGGTAAGGTATTCAATTCAAATGTAGGACTATGGCTCTGTAAGTACTCTTGAAATTCATTGATGATGTGTAAAACATACTACTTGAACTGGAAAGTAAGAGGTGTAAGATTCGAAGGGCCTGCAAATGAAATTGAAATGGTACATACAACCCACACATTATTGAGTTTTAGAGAATAAGATTTGTTAGGTTAAGACAGCCTTTTTGTGGAGCAGTTTAAAGCTAGGTCAAAGAATTTACCTTGATAAAGTAAAAATAAGCAACCATCTCTTAGTTTATATAGGGGGATGATCAGGTTAAGCTTTCTAAAACAATTCCCTTCATATAGTAGTGCAGAGGATTCCAGTTGGGTAAAGATTTGTGTTAGGCCACACTGAGGATTACCAGCTAAACCTTCAATCTTCTACATCTGAAAATAGACACTGGATTTTTTTTTTTTTCCCAATGAGGACAGGAATCTACGTGTATTATTTACCTTAGTATATCCAGCATCTCTTTAGGTATTTCCCTGTATGATGGTATACTTACTCCATTTCTCTTTAGTTGCTGAAATGAAAATGTTGTTGAGCTTTTATGCTCTTTAATTTTTTAAGTGTAGAGTAGGATGAAGAATTGAACACGAATATCAGCAATAAAATACAGCAGCAATTTAAGTCTTTTGTCTTTTGACTGTTGTGACCTAGTGTGAATAATTTTGTATATTTTGGTGATCTCTTAATTCCTTTCTTAGCAAGGTAGGTGTTATATAGAGTTTGTCTAGTTCCTTCTCTGAGCTCAAAAGTAAGTAATACTAACATATATAAAACATGTAGATGTGGGCGTTTGGCACCTGAATTCCTATCAGAATGCCTGGAGATTCAAGTCCCACCTCCACTTCCAATTTCAGGTTCTTGCTAATGTGCCCCCTGGGAGGTAGCAGGTGATTGCTCAAGTACATGGGGCATTACCACCCATGTGGAAGACCCAGATTCAGTGCTAGGCTCCTGGCTTTAGCCTGGCCTAGCTTCAGCTGTTCAGGGCATTTGGGGAAATGAATCAGCTAATAGAAGGTCTCTCTCTGTCTCTCTCTCTCTGCCTCTCAAATTAATAATTTACATAAAATATTTAATTTCTTTTTATAAGTTATCTTCAGGACTCATTAAGGAATAACATTGTACTAATAGTGGTTCATAATTGATATTTTTGTAATTTTTATTCATCTCTAAATTTAAGTCATAAATTAATCTTTTTATAATTAGCAAAAAGATTGCATTAAATAAGTTATGAAATATTTTCAGGGACCCATGTTGTGGCATAGTGGGTAAAACTGCCACCTGTAACACTGGCATTCCATATGGGTGCTGGTTCCAGTCCTGGCTGCTCCAGTTCCAATCCAGCTCCCTACTAATGTGCCCCAGAAAGCAGTGGAGGATGGCCCTATTGCTTGGGTCCCTACACCCATGTGAGAAACTGGAATGAAGCTCCTGGCTTCAGCTTGGCCCATCCTCAGCTGTTGTATTCATTTGGGGAGTGAACCAGAAGATGGAAGATCTCTGTCTTTTCCCCTCTTTTTCTGTAATTCTGCCTTTCAAATTCACATGAAATTTCCAAGTTGAGAATTGTACCAAATATTCAGATTTATGACAGTGTCAAATATGAATTTGGATCATTTTAATATTGTGTATCATCAAGTTTCATAAGGAGCTTATATGTATACATATATATTATGTCTTACAGAAAGCTTTTGTCCAGTGATCGAAATCCACCAATTGATGACTTAATAAAATCTGGAATATTACCTATTTTAGTTCATTGTCTTGAAAGAGATGACAAGTAAGTACAAGTTCTTTGTTTTTAATTTAGTATGTACCCTTTGAGAAGGAAAGATTTTCTAGTAGATAGTCTTTTTTCTTTAAAGACAGGAGCTATGGGATGGAATTGAAAAGTCAAAAGGAATGGGAAAAATGATGCAAATTATATTTATGCCAACAGATGAAGGTAAAAGCCAAAGAGGGACTTAGTTTAAGTTTTGAAAATTAACAGGAACTAGGTTGAGCATGTAGGTACTTGAGAAAACAAGGCCTTGGAGGTTTCAGAAATGCTGAATGTTTAGAGGCAAATATTTAATATATTTAAAATACTTGTGGACAACGATGTTGATAGAAATTTGTACCAATGTGAAAATAACTACTGTTTGAAGTTATTTGTTTTTGTTTATTTGTTTTGTAGTCCTTCTTTACAGTTTGAAGCTGCATGGGCTTTGACGAACATTGCATCTGGAACCTCTGAACAAACTCAAGCAGTAGTTCAATCCAGTAAGTTGCTTATTAACAAATAACATTGTATTTTTTCAAAAAAAAGTCAACAGAACCCGCTGATTCTCCTAAAAGAATATAGCTATTTATGTTGTAAAGTTATAGCTACTCAATAACATGTAGAGTTGTTGAACTAGACCAGCCTAGCAATCTTATTCAGTTGACCAACACACTCTGTTTCTAAAACTTCATTTAATTCCTTTCAAAATCTGGGTAATTTCCTAATTGTAATAGCAGATTATATTATTATAGTTATACTTTATTTATAGGACATCAGAAGAAATAAAATTATTTTTCCCATTGCCATACTGTGTTTCAGCTTCTCTTAAAGAAGTTATGTTTTTGGGGCCGGCACTATGGCACAGTAGGTTGATCCTCTGCCTGCAGCGCCGGCATCCCTTATGGACGCCAGTTCTAGTCCTGCTGCTCCTCTTCCAATGCGGCTCTCTGCTGTGGCCTGGGAGAGCAGTGCAAATTGGCCCAAATGCTTGGGCTCTGGCGCCTGCATAGGGGACCCAGAAGAAGCTCCTGACTCCTGGCTTTGGATCAGCTCAACTCCAGCCGTTGCAGCCAATTGGGCAGTGAACCATCAGATGGAAGACCCTCTGTGTAACTCTGACTTTCAAATAAATAAATAAATAAATATTTTAAAATAATAATAATAATAATACTAACAGGTATATTGTTTTCATGAGTACTATTTAATTTTTCTGCCAAAGAAATTAATAATTTTTAAAAGGAACTTTAAAAATGCATCTTAAATATGTAAGCAGTATACTTGTCTAAGCTTGTAAAATCGTAAGCACTAATCTTTTGATTTTGAAAGGGAACAAAAATGATATCCAAGTTAGTACCTTATTATGTAGATAGTTGTAATATTAGAAAAACAAATTACCTTAAATTCTATTAAAATTAAATTTTGGATTCATATATTTTTTGTTTTATTAAATGTGATTTTTTTTTTTGGTTTTATATGGTTGACTCCTAGGTAAATTTTATTTTTTCAAGATAATATCTTATTCCCTACCTTTTTCCTTTTCTGTTTCATATGGTCTTTAAAGATCAGAAAGAGGTTTTTATAAGTAATCATCATTAATCTACATGTATGAATATGAATACTTGTTTGCACCAAAAGTTAGCATTTAATCCATTTTCCACAAGCTTTTTGAGGTACCTCATATTTAAATAGCATTTTTCAAAGTTATATGGGAAAGAAAGAAAAAGAGTCACTTGTTCAGTGTAATACTAGTCTGTTCAGACAAAGGCCTGTCTTGTGTTTGCCATCTTTATTGAGCAATACAATTACTTCCTGATTCAGAAGGTCTCAAGTGGTCCAGGAATCACTGGCCTGTCTGTTCAGCCACATGATGTTTATTTAAATTAAAGTGCTTAAAAGTTATTTCAATATTGGAACTTTCTTCTCAAATTTGATGAATTAATCTTTTTTTAAAAGAATTATTTATTTATTTGAAAATCAGAGTTATACACAGAGAGAGGAGGAGAGGCAGAGAGAAAAAAAGAGGTCTTCCATCTGCTGGTTCACTCCTTCACTCTCCAAACGGCCACAATGTCCAGAGCTGGGCCTATCCAAAGCCAGGAGCTAGGAGCTTCTTCTGGGTCTCCCACACAGCTGCTTTCCCAGACCATAGAAGAGAGCTGGATGGGAAGTGGAGCATCCAGGACTCGAATCAGCGCCCATATGGGATGCCAGCACTGTTGGTGGTGGCTTTACCACACTGTGTAACAGCGCTGGCCCCTGAATTAATCTTAAAATTAGGTTTAAGCCCAGGTTTAATTGTAAATGAAATTTTATGAACTTTATTTGATAATTGTTTTAAAACTCATTTCGATGCTAATTAAATTATCTGCTAGTCAGAATTCTTCCAGAAGTGCTGTTTCTAATAAAAAAAAATTTTTTTAAGACAGAAAGGTTTTCCATCTGACAGTTCACTGCCCAATCAGCCGCAACAGTCGGAGCCACACTGATCCGGAGCCAGGAGCTAGGAGCTTCTTCCGGGTCCCCCCCCCCCCCCCGCCCCGCCCCGGCGAGTGCAGGGGCGCAAAGACTTGGGCCATCTTCTACTGCTTTCCCAAGCCATAGCAGAGAGCTGGATCGGAAGTGGAGCAGCCAGGTCTCGAACCGGCACCCACTGGGATGCCGGTGCTTCAGGCCAGGGTGTTAACCTGCTGCGCCACAGTGCTGGCCCCAGTCTGGCCCCAATCTAATAAAAATTATTTAATGAGGATATATTTTTGATAGATTCTATTTTTATTTTGAGATATCAGCAAAAAAATTCAGTTTTTTAGTAGTTTCTTTATGAAGCTAGCATTGTGGTACAGTGGGTTAAACTTCTGTTTGTAGTACCAGCATCCCATATCAGAGTCCCAGTTCAGGCCGGCGCCGCGGCTCACTAGGCTAATCCTCCGCCTAGCGGCGCTGGCACACCGGGTTCTAGTCCCGGTCGGGGCGCCGGATTCTGTCCCGGTTGCCCCTCTTCCAGGCCAGCCCTCTGCTGTGGCCAGGGAGTGCAGTGGAGGATGGCCCAGGTGCTTGGGCCCTGCACCCCATGGGAGACCAGGAAAAGCACCTGGCTCCTGGCTCCTGCCATCGGATCAGCGCGGTGCGCCGGCCGCAGCGCGCTGGCCGTGGCGGCCATTGGAGGGTGAACCAACGGCAAAAGGAAGACCTTTCTCTCTGTCTCTCTCTCTCACTGTCCACTCTGCCTGTCAAAAAAAAAAAAATATCAATCAAAAAAAAATATAGAAAAAATAACAGAGTCCCAGTTCAAATTCGGGCTGTTCCACTTCTGATCCAGCTTCCTACTAATGCTCCTGGAAAGCAGTGGATAATGGCCCAAGTTTCTGGGCCCTTGCCACCATTGTGGGAGATGCAGATGGAATTCTGGCTCCTCACTTCAGCCTGGACCAACCATGGCTTTTGAAGCCATTTGAGGAGTGGAAGCTTTCTCTCTCTCCGACTCTAGCTTTCAAATAAATGCATATTTCTTTAAAAAGGAAAAAGTGTGTGTATATAAATTTATATATATATATATATAGAGAGAGAGAGAGAGAGAGAGAATCTTCAACCTGAAGTGTTAACTTACATTTTCCTCTTTCAGATGCTGTGCCACTTTTCCTGAGGCTTCTTCATTCACCCCATCAGAATGTCTGTGAGCAAGCAGTATGGGCTTTGGGAAATATCATAGGTTTGTATAACATTTAGAGTACTAGTTCAACAGTTGTTACTAGGTTATAAAAATAATTACTAATTGTCAAAAAGGAAAAAGTTTGCCTTTAATACTAGTTGTGGTAAACAGCTTACAGGAATTTTAACTGAGTATAAAGTCATGATAGGCAGAATTAACATTTTGTTACTTGTTATACCATTTAATTATTTGAATAACTATGAAATATGTATGTCATTTGGGTCTTCTATTTTCTGCTGAGGTCTGTTTTATTTTCTCAGTTTTCCCTATCAAAGCTAACTTAGTAAACCAGAAGGATTCTAAGGATTGTTAATGCCACATATTGTTTGTGTTTCTCACATAGAAATAATCAGAATTGCTTGGGTGTACCTCCTCTTTATTGCCCTTTTGCAGGGACAACATGGAAGACAGGAGATGGTTATGAATTTTCTGGGAGGATATCTCTGTAAACTGTTCTTAGCATAGGGTATAGTGCTGTTGGGAATGCTGTCTCCTTCATTCCTTTACTTTTATACCAAATTTTAGAATTATAACTATTATGCCATATCTTGATCTTTAATTTTTTATTTTAGTGACATTCTGGAAGTAATTAGAATACATGAGTGCAAAGGGAGCAATTGTTTTATCTCTAAATATTTTAGTGCAGGAAAAAAATGTTTTCACAGGATAGTAACTTCAGCATGCCTTCATATTAGAAATTACAGTGACAATTCAGAAATTGATCTGACAGTTCTCTGTGGCATTAGTTCTCAAACTTTAGCATACTGTCAGAATCATATAGAGACTTTATTAAAACACGGACTCCTGTACCCACAGAGATTTTGCTCTGAGCACAAGCCCAAAAACCACATTGGGAATGAATCATTGTTCTAGGACTATTATAGGACTATCTTTTCTTCTGACATAGTTTTCTAAGTGTACAGAATAATTTGTCATTCACTGTTTTGGTCCACTGATACTGAGTCATACATGGAAATTCAACACATATTTTCTCTGTAAGAGTATTTCTATACTTTTTTTAAAGATTTTATTTATTTTGCGAAGTAGAGTTACAGACAGAAAGAAGGAGAGACAGAAAGATCTTCTATCTGCTGGTTCACTCCCTAAATGGCCGCAGTGGCCAGAGCTGAGCCGATCCTGAAGCCAGGAGCTTCTTCTGGGTTTCCCATGCAGGAGCATGGGCCCAAGCACTTGGGCATCTTCTGCTGCCTTCCCAGGCCATAAGCAGAGAGCTGGATTAGAAAAGGAAAAGCTGGGACTTGAACTGGTACCTATATGGGATGCCAGCGCTGCAAGCAGAAGCTTAACCTATTACACCATAGTACTGGCCCCTATACTTTTTTAATTATATGAAATAACATTGAAAGAAAAGATAAAAGCAGCAGTTATCCACCCACAAAGTATTTTTGAAAACCGTAAGCCCTCCAAAATTTAGCTGGTATGAAGACATTTGATAAGAGAGCAGTTTATAAAGTCCCACATGTGAATAATCTGTAAAAGAGTACTGTAGCATCTTATGTTGCTTCTTTTGGTCCAAAGATCTATGGCTCCTAAGGCCTAGAGTATGAACTTGGTTATCACTGACTAGAAACTAAGTAATACATCTGGTTAAAATCCAGAACGCAGGAGTGGATGTTGCAGTGCAGCAGGTTAAGCTGCCACTTTGGAAGCCTGCATCCTGTATCAGAGTGTCTGGGATCAAGTCCCGCTCCACATACAATGCATGCAGCTTCCTGCACGTGTGCATTCTGAGAGGCAGCAGGTGATGTCTCAAGTACTTGGGTCCCTGATACCCACTTGGGAGTCCCAGTTGGAATTCCAGGTTCCTGGCTTCAGCCTGGCCCAGCCAGCCATTAAGGCCATTTTGGGAGTGAACCAGTAGATGGAAGATCTCTCTTCCTTCTTACCCCCTCTGTAATTCTTCATATCAAATAAATAAATATTTATAAGAAATTTTTAAAGTATGGGAAGCCACATATTGGACCCAGTACTTTATGTTTTCTGAAAAACTTATTGTCACTATATTTTATTGAATTTATAAATTATTTCTACAGGTGATGGGCCCCGGTGTAGAGATTATGTCATAAGTCTTGGAGTTGTGAAACCTTTACTTTCGTTCATAAGTCCATCTATTCCTATAACATTCTTAAGAAATGTTACTTGGGTTATGGTCAACTTATGTCGCCACAAAGACCCACCACCACCAATGGAAACCATTCAAGAGGTAAAAATTTTTATTTTTAATTTTAGTTTTTTAAGTTGATGGGGTGGATGTTTGGCACAGTGGTTAAGACACGACTTGGGACATCTGCTTTCCATATCATAGTGCCTGGGTTTGAGTCCCAGTCCATTTCCAATTCCATCTGCCTTCTAATTTGCACCCTGGGAAAGCAGCAGATGGTGGCTCAAGTCCTTGGGTCTCTGATACCCACCCAGAGATCCAGATTAAGTTACAGGCTCCTGGCTTAGTCCTGGCCCAGCCCCAGCTGTTGCAGGCATTTAGAGAGTAAATCAATGTATGGAAGATCTCTCTCTATATATATATTTCAAATGAAATGAAAATAAGTAAATTTTTTAAAAGTAGGTATTAAAGAGGATACCATTATGTATGTTGTTATATATGTGTATTTTTCAATCTGTATAATTCTCTCTTTAGATTCTTCCAGCCCTTTGTGTTTTAATTCATCATACAGACGTAAATGTGAGTAAATGCTTCCTATCCTATGTTTATGTATATACATTTATGTCTTATTATGTGTGTGTGTATATATCTTATGTACATTTATGTTTAGGGCTGGAAATTGGGGAGAAAATGTTATTTGAAGACATGTCATTGTACTATCTGATTTTTGTACTTCAAGGGTTGAAATACAAATTTGGTATTTTTATATTTATGTTTACCTGTATCATAAAATATAATTTCAGTGAGGAAGTCAAGCCCAGTTATTATTTTAGTCTGTGCAGTAATGTACATGTACATACATAAAGATGTATGTATGTACAAGTTGTCTTCAAAAACTTCAAGGAAGTTGTATATTATGAAGAAACTGGATGGATTTCAGGTTTTTTTTTTTTTTTCTTCACTAAAATAAGCTTGTCTTTTAATTTGATGTCTCCACAGATTTTGAAGTGCTCTCATGTATATCAATGTTAGAAAAACTCATATAGAAAGTTTTTAAGTTTCTAGTCAGTAATCTCCCTTACTAAGATTATCTTTGTTCATGAATGTTTAATGGAAGCTTTTATTGATAACCTGGCCAATTATAATACAGATAACATGCACTTAGTGACATTTTTGTTTTTTGAAAAATGAGTAGAAATACTGTGCCTGTATGCATGAGTTTGTATTCCTATACATTTACCAAACCTATGAACATCAGTTGTTCTTCATATTTTTACTCCATTTCTCCCAGTTATAATGACTGGCGCCGGCACCTCGGGTTCTAGTCCCAGGTGAGGCGCCGGATTCTGTCCTAGTCGCTCCTCTTCCTGTCCAGCTCTCTGCTGTGGCCCAGGAGTGCAGTGGAGGATGGCCCAAGTGCTTGGGCCCTGCACCCGCATGGGAGACCAGGAGAAGCACCTGGCTCCTGACTTCGGATCAGCGCAGTGCTCTGGCCACAGCGGCCATTGAGGGGTGACCCAGTGGAAAAGGAAGACCTTTCTCTCTCTCTCTCTCTCTCTCTCTCTCACTGTCCATTCTGCATGTCAAAAAAAAAAAAATACTATTCTCAAACAAGGGAAGAAAACAGCACAAGCAAGATTTTAAACATAACAAATAAATGAGGTGGGAAACTGACCTGATTTTTTATAAAAGCCAGACTAGCCTTTGATTTGTTAGAAAAATTAGGGAATATAATAGGTAAGGGACTGTCCATGTGTGAAATATAGATAGCAATAATCAGAAAGTAATGTGTTTCTTTAAAAAACGATTTGCTATGGTGATAGCAGTGTTTGATGAGCTATTTCATTTCTTTACAGTTTTAGGATTATACTTTTTTTTTGCCAGAATCCCCTAAAAGTATGTAGAACAAATTAAAATCAGAATTTTGCTACATCAAGTAGTGAGATAATGTACAAAATTTATTAAACATGCTCTTTGCTCTAAAGATGTTTTTTAAGCGCCAGATAGTCTGATTGAATCAGATAGATCTTAAATATTTATATAAGCATTTTTTGTTTTTGGTTCCTGAAAGCCATGTTCCTTGACTGAAGTATAAATTTCAACATTTTTCTTTTAAAATATTCATAAAAAAAGATTAATCTCAAAGTTATACTACCACTAAAAAACCAGACATCTTCATTTACTTTATTCAGAGATGCATTATGTTTCTTTACCTCAATCTAGGTGAGATTCTGATTACATTTATCTTTATTTTTTATGTGCCTTGAATTTCTCAAGCCAGTCTATATTGTTGTTTTTAGTTACATATTTAATTAATAATATTATTTACTAAATAGTGATGTTTATTAGAGTCATCTTGGGTAAACATTTAGCAGTGTGTTCTTAAGTCAAGCCATCAAAGAACTAAAGATAAAACTAGTTAACTGCTTCTACAAGCCATAACTAAAGCACCAACATTACATTTAGTTGTAATTGGTAAACTTACAGAATACAAACTTTGTCACAAAAGAATATATGAGATCTAGTTTGATTTAAATCGTGATTTTTTCCCCCAGAAACCTTTTATTTAAGGTATATGACTTCATGCATTTCATAAATACAACTTTAGGAACATAGATATTCTTCCCTTCGTACCTGCCCTTCCACCCTTCTTCCTACTCCCTCTCCTATTCCCATTCTTATTTTTTACTAAAATCTACTTTCATTTAACTTTATACACAGAAGATTAACTCTGTACTAAGTAAAATGTTCAACAAATAGTATTAAAAAAAAAACTGTTACTCAAACAGTTTTTTGATTTCTCTTTGGATTTTTTTCTATGACCCACTGTTCATTCAGGAGCATGTTTTTCAGTTTGCATGTGATCTAGAGATTCTTAAGTTCTTGATTTCCAACTTCATTCCATTGTGGTCAGAGAAGATGGCATAGTATGATTTTGAATTTGCTAAGACTTGCTTTATGGCTTATCATGTGGTCCATCCTAGAGAAAGTTCCGTGCACTGGTGAGAAGAATGTGTATTCTGCAACTGTAGGATGAAAAGTTCTGAAAATATCTGTTAGATCCACGTGGTCTATAGTTTTGATTAACTATTTCCTTGCTGATTTTCTGTCTGAATGATCTTTCCATTTTTAAAGTGGGGTATTGAAGTCCCCCATTACTATTGTATTGGAGTTTTTTTTTTTCTCCCTTTAGATCCTTAACATTTCTTTTAAATAGCCAGGTGCCCTGTAATTAGATTTGTATACATTTATTGTCACATCTTCCTGTTGAGTTGAACCCTTAATCATTGCATAGTGCCCTCTTTGTCTCTTTTGACAGTTTTTGTGTTAAAAACTGTTTTGTCTGATACCAGGATGGCTATACCAGCTCTTTTTTGGTTTCTGTTAACGTAGAATATCGTCTATGCTTTCACTTTCAGCCTGCATTTATCTTTGTTGGTGAGATATGTTTCTTGTAGACAACAAGTAGATGAGTTTTATTTTTTAATCTATTCAGCCAGTCTGTATCTTTTATCTGGAGATTGAGGCCATTTACATTCAAGGTGCCTATTGGCCCTGATGTTTTCCATAAATATTCCTATTGCTTACTTTTTATTTCCTTTGTTCTTGTGCTGGGAGATTTTCTTTCATAGTGATGACTGTGTTTCTGTGTGTAGCACATCTTAAGCATCTCTTGTAAGGCTAGATGAGTGGTGACAAATTCTTTGAATTTCTGTTTGTTATAGAAGGTCTTTTATTTCACCTTCATTCCTAAATGAGAGCTTTGCCAGGGTACAGTATTCTGGGTTGACAGTTTTTTTTTCTCTTTAGACTTGGAATATATCTCACCATTCTCTCCTAGCCTGCAGGGTTTCTGATGAGAAGTCGGCTGTGAGTATAATTGGAGATCCTCTGAAAGTAATCTGGAGTTTCTCTCGTGTTCATTTTTTTACTGTGGAGAGTTTGAGTACAATGTGTCATGGTGAGGATCTTTTCTGGTCATATCTATTAGGAGTTCTATGTGCTTCTTGTACTTGGAGGCCCCTTTCTCCAAATTTGGGAAGTTTTTCTGTAATTATTTCACTAAAAAGGCCTTGTAATCCGTTCTCTTTCCTCACCTTCAGGAACTCCTGTGTCCTGTATGTTTTGTGGTTTGATAGTATTCCATGAATCTCCAACACTGTTTTTTAATTTTCTTATTTCTTCTTTTTTTTTTTGGTCTAAAATCTCCAGAGATTTGTCTTCTAACTTGGATATTCTTTCTGCTGCCTTACCGAGTCTGTTGTTAAGGCTTTCCACCACATTTTTTATTTGATCTATTGAATTCATCATTTCCAATATTTCATTTTCATTTCTCTTTAAATTCTCAATTTCATGGGAAAATTTTTTTATTTGTGTCATGTATATATTACTTTAATTCGTGGATTTGCTTCTGATTACTTCTGAGTAATCCTATAATCTATAATTTAAATTCCATTTCCAGCATTTCTTCAGTCTCTTCATTTTCACATTGTATTTTTGAAGTGTTGGTGTGTTTCTTTGAAGGCGTCATGTGAGAGAAGAAAACAAGTGGTAGAACAATCTTAGATTAATTGTATGGTTAAGAATTACTAAAATGAGAAAATATTCAAATGCTCTTTGAATTCTCATTTTACTCATTAGATTTTGGTAGATACAGTGTGGGCCCTCTCTTACCTTACTGATGCTGGCAATGAACAGATACAGATGGTAATAGACTCTGGAATAGTTCCTCATTTGGTTCCTCTGCTCAGCCATCAGGAAGTTAAAGTTCAGGTAAGTTTGTTCGTGATAAAAAATTTTAAGTTTTTCTAATAATAATTGCTGTAAACATGACATTCAGAGCCAAACAATTTCAATAGTTTAAAGGATATTCTTAGCATGACAGCATGTCTGTGATGGTAAGAGTAAATTATTTTATTCCCATTTTAAAGGTGGAAAAAAATGAGGTAAGGATACTACAGCTTGAACCTACCTTTGCCCACCCTCTCTGAAAAATACATATTTAGGAAGAGACTCCTTTGTAGAATACAGATTTGTATTATAGGCAATTCAGTTTAGCAGCTTGAGTGCAATCAAACAGGTGTTGATACTTAGAATTCCTACTCCTTTTCTTATTTTTCTTCCTCTTCCACAGTCCAATTCCCCCCACCCCCCATTCCGCCCTGTCCCTTTTTACTGATCTGGAAAGTTTGGTTCGCTCTTAGCTTCACTGGCACTTATAAAGACTTTGTGCAAAAAGGTTTTGTGCAGATAAATGCTACTTAGCTCCCTAAATTGTTTTCACCATCTTAAACTTTTTTAAGCTTGTTTTTTTATTTTATTCAATTGTTCTTAAATCCTCTTACACAGTATTTATCTGAAAGAACCTATATGTAGTGTCAAAAGAGAGGATGAGAAGTTCACACAAATAGAAGTAATAACTGTCAAACTGCAATGGTAAAGGGATATGCAGCATGTTCTCTAATTTTCTGAGGTAAATAGAATGTTTTATGTGGCAATGACTTAGAGTCTGTAAAGTATAGTAATAGCATAAGAAAAACTTTAACCTAAGTCATCACTTAGCCTTGGCTGGATAACGAGAACAACTGTAAAACTTTAAAAAGAAAGTTTTTTTTTTTTAATTGTTCAACTCCTAGAGATTGTTTTTTTTTTTTTTTTCCATGAATTATTTGAGAAAGAAACAAAAAGCTCCGTCCTGCTATTTCACTCCCCAAATGCCTGTAATGTCTAGAACTGGGCCAGAACCAGGAGCTCAGTCTAGGTCTCTCACTTAGGTGGTAAGGACACAATTACTTGGAGCCATTACCTACTGACTCTCAGTGTCTACATTAGCAGGAAGCTGGAGTTAGGAGCCAGAGCCAGATGTTGAACCCAGGTACTCTGATATGGGACATAGGTGCTTAATCAGATTCTTAACTACCAGGAAGAACACCTCAAACTCCACACCTCCCAAGATTCTGTTTAAGTAAAACTCAAATATTTTCTAGAAATCTGATTAGCCTTTAAATAGCTCCTCAGGTAATACTGATATGCAGTTGGAATAGAGACTCGTTGCCTTAGAAATAACAGCACTTTAAAGAAAGAGAAACTGAAAGCTAAATTCAGAATTGATTAATAAAATAGTTTGTCTCTTAGGGCTATTTGTGATTTATTTTACGTTTATCATTAAGTTTGCATTTACTGAGTATGGTACTTATGTCTTGGTATAGGTTTTTGGTTTGTACTTTGTTTTTGTTTTTTCAGAATACATCTTCAGTTTTAATACTGGACTTCATTGAGAATATAGGGCTTGGAATTTTCCTTTAGCCAGCGCTCAAGGAAAGTTAATGTTCTGTATTTTACTTTATAACCAATAGAGATTTCCTTAACTTTTTAACTTCCATGGAATAATTTAGAAAAATAGTACAGTGAATTCCCATATTGATTTATTCTGTGTCCCAACTCTCTCCAGATTATTTTGAATATGAAATATTATTTCATCCAGCATGCATCTCTAAAATTAAAACTTTTCTTTAATATAACCAAAATACTTTTGGCACACTTTAAAAACAAAACAAAACAATACAGTATTGAATATCTAATTTGCAAATTCTGGTTGCTGCTTCCTGATTGTTTTCACTGTTTGATCAAATTGATAAACAGAATCCACACAATGCGTCTGGTTGTTATGTCTTTCAAGTTTCTGTTATTCAGTAACTTTACTTTATTCCTTTTAAATTTATTCATTAAAGAAGCTGATTCACTTCAAAACATTGTTGTAAGAATGGAAAGACATCCCATGTTCATGGATTAAAAGACATAATATTGCTAGGATGGCATTGTTCCCCAAGTTTATCTACAGATTAAATGAAAATTAAATGTTAAAATTCCAGGTGTCTCTTTTGCAGAAATTTTCAAGCTGCCCTTTAAATCCATATGGAAACACAGTAAGGCAGAAATAGCCAAAACAATCTTGAACAAAGTTTGAGGAATTTTCACCTTCAAAACTTCAAAGCTAATGTAAACGAGACTGTGATACTGGCATAAGGATAAACATACAGATCAATGAAATAGAATAAAAATTTCCTAAATAAAGCTATACATTTCTGGCCAATTGGTTTGCAACAAAGGTGCCAAACCAGTTCACTGGGAGAAAGAATACTGTTTTTTGAGAAGTAGTGCCAGAACTAATGGATATCCACATTTAAAATAATAAAGTTGGACCCCTACCTCAAACTATATTATGCAAGTTAACTCAAAATGGATCAAGAGCCAAAATTGTAAACCTCTTAAATGAAAATAAGCATAAATCTTTATTACTTCAAACTAGGCAGTGGTTTCCAAGATATGTCACCATAAGCACAAGGCGCTAAAGAAAAAAAAAATCATCCGTTGGACTTCACCAAAATTAAAAACCATGCTTGGGGAGTCAAGCAGCGCATTGAAGAACTCCCTCTCTTTCTTTGTTTTTTTCTCCCCCATTCCTGTTATTCTGCCTTTCAAATAAAAAAATCATTTTCAAGAAAGTGCAAAAGTCTGTAGAATGGGAGAAAGTATTTATAAATCATATATGTGAGGGACTGGCGCCGTGGCTCACTTGGTTAATCCTCCACCTGCGGCGCTGGCAACCCATATGGGTGCTGGGTTCTAGTCCTGGTCTCTCCTCTTACAGTCTAGCTCTCTGCTGTGTCCCAGGAGGGCAGTGGAGGATGGCACAGGTGCTTTGACCCCTACACCTGCATGGGAGACCAGGAAGAAACACCTGGCTCCTGGCTTCAGATTGGCGCAGTGCCAGCCATGGTGGCCATTTGGGGAGTGAACCAACGAAAGGAAGACCTTTCTGTCTCTCTCTCTCACTGTTTATAACTCTTCCTGTCAAATAAAAATAAATAAATAAATAAATCATATATCTGAAAAGGAACTTATATCCAAAATATACAAATAAGTCTTTAACAACTCAAAACTAAAAAAGCAATCAGATTTAAAAATCAGCAGATTTGATTTATTCTCCATAAGAGACATATAAATGGCCAATAAGCACATGCAAAAGTGTTCAACATCATTCATTAATCATTAAGAGGGAAAAATAACACATCAAAACCATAGTTAGTACTACTACATGTCCATTGTGGTAGCTGTAATAATATAATAGTAGAGATTAGCAAGGTTGTAAAGAGATTGAATCCTTATATACTGCTACTGGAAATGTAAAATGGCACAGCTGATTTGGATACTGTACCTAAAAAGTTACAGTTAGAATATGAATCAGCAGTTCCTCATTTAGATATATACCCAAAAGAATTTTGTATAAGAGGAAGAAACTTGTATACAAATTTTTCATAGAAGCATTTACTATCTAAAATGATCCTTCTGATTTGTTTGTTTGGTATTTTCTTAAAATAATGTAAGCTTCATAAGAGCTGAAACTTCTATCTTTTCTATTTACACCTCTGTTCATAGATAAGCACATGACAGAAAGTGCTCTGAAATGATTGGTTAGTTGGAATAAAAGAATGGGTGAAAGAACACATGTATCTTTTGTAACCTGTAAGGAGTATTTCACATAGGGCATGATTTCATTAAATCTTTCTACATTTCAGACAGCTGCACTTAGAGCTGTGGGCAACATTGTTACTGGAACTGATGAGCAAACACAAGTAGTTTTGAACTGTGATGCTCTTTCACACTTCCCGGCACTCCTGACACATCCCAAAGAGAAAATTAATAAAGTAAGTATTTTAAAATACTATTTAGTAAATGGCACATAAAATGCTAAGTTTTCATTTATAAAATTAGGATATAAGAGGTATCTGTAATATTGATTATTAATATAAACTGTCATTTAGACATTGAGAGAAAATAAAATAGTCCACTGTTTCTAACATGGATTAATGTATGGTTTTTACCATATGTAAAACAAACCAGTTGTAAAGTGCTCTTTGGCTCTCTTGGAAATGATGAAATAGAGATAATTGGGTGTTGAATGTTGTATGACTGGAAATTATTAGTATTAATGTTAAGAAATTATAAGTTTAATGTTTTATGGATACTTACTAGAGTGTGTGTGTGTGTGTGAGCATGTGTGTGCTTATGGTGGCTATGGAAAGGGGGCACTGAGTGGTGATGCTGATATTGGAGTGCATCTGAGGCTGTTGTAGAAATAACATGGGTTGTTGATTACAACATTGCCGATGATTATGACCCAAAAACAGCTCACCTAAGTAGCCTAACACCCTAAAATCTCTGACAGGTTCATTAAACATGGTCCTGTGATCTGATCCAAAAGAGCCTACGAATACAGTAGTTAATACTACTTTTGGAGTAAAACTTGTTTATTGGTTTTTAAAAATAGAGAAAATTGCTTCCCTTTAGTAAACTGGTAAGTTTAATAAATTTATTGTTAAATTATAATAAAATCCTACATAAGGTATTAGATAATTTGTCTTATTTCATGCTGTCACTTCAGTATAGATTTATTTATGAAACTGGTAAAACACTTAGGACCCACCATTGTGGTATAAAGGTAAATATAAAAAAATCACTAAGGTAGAGCAATAAAGAAATCAAACATCTGGTTCCACGTTAGTACTTCAGAAAAATAGTGCATTGAATAACTAATATGAATAGATATGCTAAAACAACCCAATATTTAATTTTTCATGTCTCTATTGTTTTAGATAATTGATATTTATATACTTTGGCTAGGACTCTTAATCAGAATAGAATAGAGATGAAGCACATTACGTGCAGGAAGGGCACTGAATCTCATTTCCAATAGTTTTAGGAATTGTATTTGTATTACAGTTCATCAGCTCTTTAGTATTTGTTCAGTCAAGCTTCTTTTGAGTCATACTTTTTGGGAGCATTGCTTTCAAGAATTCTTCACAAGGGTTCATTGTGACCTGGATTAGGGCCATTAGCAATTTGTCCAAAAAAAAAACATGGGAAAAGGAGGGTAAAAGGAAGTGAAATTCCTAAGATTTTGATTACAGAATTCATTATATAATAAAACCATTTGGACAGTGTAGTAGCGAGTGCTTTTTTTCTTTAAGTGCAGTTTTTGTTTTTTAATGAGAAATATTAAAAGGGTCTTGTTTTACAGGAAGCAGTGTGGTTCCTCTCTAACATCACTGCAGGAAATCAGCAGCAGGTTCAGGCAGTAATTGATGCCAATCTTGTACCAATGATAATACACCTTTTGGATAAGGTAAGAAAATCACCTTGCATATATCTGAGTAAAAGGAAAGGACTTAAACATGAAAACTATGTGAATATATACTTTTCTGTTTATTTTATTAGAATTTATTTAGTGAAATGGATGCTACAATAAAGTAGCAGTATTAAAGATTTTGAGCTCAACAGTTTTTATATGCAAGCAACATTTGTTTTTGGAAACTCTTGGCCCTTCTTCAATGTCATCCTTTTACCAAGGTTGCTAATGTCCTCAGACTTACTAAAAATACATACTATTAGTACTGAGCATCAATGCCTACATACTATTGTAAGCACTTTACATGTTTAGATTGAGCATCACTAAACTGAAAATCCAAAATTCAAAATGCATCAGAATCAGTCTTTCTAAGCATCAGTGTGATATAAAAAGTGGGAAATTCCACGCTTTACCTCATGTGATAGGTTTCAATCAAAATACATGCACACTAAAAATATTGTACAGGGCCAGCATTGTGGTACAGTGGGATAAACTGCAACCTATGATGCTGACATCCCATTTGAGCACTGGTTTCAGTCCGGCTGCTCCACTTCTGTTCCAGCCCCTTACTAATGCCCTTGGAAAAGTGGCAGAGGATATTCCCAAGTGCTTGGGCCCCTGCCACCCATGTGGGAGAACCAGATGAGTTTTCAGGCTCTGGCTTTGGCCTGGCCCAGCATCAGCTGTTGTGGCCGTTTGGGGAATGAACCAGCAAATAGAAAATCTCTCTCTGTCTCTCCCTCTCTCTCTCTAACTCTGCCTTTCAGAAAAATAAATCTTTATAAATAAATTTTAAAATTGGGTATAAAATTATCTCTAGACTGTATAAAGTTTATTTATTTAATTTTATGTTTAGACTTTGGTCCCATCCCCAGTATATCTCACTATGTACTGAGTCAGCAAAATACCCAAGACAACTAACTTAGAAAATAGAAAAGCTTTATTTTAGCTCACAGTTTCGGAGGTTCACAGTTCAAGATTGGGCAGGTCACCTTGTTTTGGCGTTTGGTGATGCTGATGATGCAGAATATCACATGGGAATAGACAGAGATCATGTTTCTCTGTATGTGTCTATGTGGTCTTTTGTAAAGCCACCAGAATTGAATCATAAGGGCTCCACTCTTAACAACCCAAGCCATCCAGTCACTTCCCAAAGCCCCATCCCCTCCCCCCCAAAAAAAACACCTCTTAATACATTTAACATAAAACTTTGGGTCCCAAGCCTTTAAACATGTGGGCCTTGGCAGAACATTTAACATCCAAATTAATATCCAAATCTTAGCAGTACTTCAAAAAGGTCATGGAAAATAGAATTAAAAGATAAGTTTATGGGTACAGAAAACTTGTTGTAGTCCATGCATAGTTTTTTCACAGTCCACATTTTTTTGTGAAATTTTTGAAGACCCCTCAAATGCAAATATTCCAAAGTTCAAAAAAATCCGAGATTTGAAACACTTCTTTCCCAGGCATATCAGATAAAAGCTACTTAACCTTTGTTAACTCATTTGATATATTATGCCTCTAAGGGTCAGGATTGTTCTCATTTGACTGGTGAAGAAACTATGGCATGCATGGACAAATAAATTGCCCCAAATCAAATAGTAAGTATGCTATTAATTGTATGCCATATCATCTCTTGTGCTTGTATTAACATTTGGGAAAGGGGCAAGTGTTATAGCACAGTGACCTGAGCCACTGCTTGTGATGTGACACGTCATATTGGAGTGCCTGGTTTGAGACCTGGTTATGCCATGCTTCTAATTCAGCTTCCTGCAAATGCACACCCTGGGAGGCAGCAGGTGATGGCTCAGGGGCTTGAATCTTTATACCCACACAGGAGTCCTAGATGCAGTTCCAGGTTCCTGGCTTTGGCCTGACGCAGCCCCAACTATTGCTGCCATTTGGGAAGTGAACCAATGGATGGATAATTCTCTTTCACAGTTTCTTGCTTTGCCTTTCAAATTAATAAAAATAAACAGACTTTCAAAAAACAAAAAATATAGTGTCACAATGACAGCATCAATTTTTTTGAATACTGGTCTGTGATTAAAGAAAAGATATCTTGTGTATCTTCTATGCCTCCATTTTTCCTGTAAATTGGTAGATAAAATCAAATGTTTTAGGCAATAGCTATATACACTACTATGTTGTTTCCAATAATTCAAATCAGGAACCAATATTTTGTCATACATCTAGTGATTTCAGGATTGATGAGTGATTTTCATTTGTTACTACCGTACTGCACATGGTAATTGTGAAGTTATCCATCAGTCTTTCATCTAATAGCTTTTTAGGTAGTAATTGATGAATGTTTCATGGACCTCTTATTTTACTAGAAGTTGCGAAATGGTTACTTTCTAATTCTGTCATTTATGTATTGCCACAATTCTTCAGTAAAGCGCTAAAAAAAAGATTTATTTGTATTTATTTGAAAAGTAGAGTTAGAGAGCAAGAGACAGAAAGGAAGATCTTGTATCTGCTGGCTGGTTCATTCTCCAAATTGCCACAACAGCCAGGAGCCTAGAACTCTATTCAGGCTTCCCATGTACGTGGCAGGAGCCAAAGCATTAGGGCCATTTTCTGCTGTTTTTTCAGACACGTTAGCAGGGAACTGGTTTAGATGGAACAGCCAGGACTTAGCAGTGCCCATATGGGGTGCTGGCTTATCAGATGGCGCCTTAACCCACTGCACCACAACAGTGGCCCCTGAAATGCTTTTCTTTATTAGCCATTAATTACTCCAAAATGTAACTCATTTAGAAAAGGCAAGATAAGTGCTTGGTTTTTCTTATCCATTTTTTTAAAGAATGAGATAGTTCCCTAACAACCTCAAAAAGAGACCAGAATGGATTTTTTAGTATCATTAGGAAAATATGAATTATCATTTTTTGGCAAGATTTAGTCTATTTCAATTAATGGTTTAGTGGTTTTGATATTCAAGTTGCCCCTGATGAACAGGAACTTCTTTAGGTTGGTACCTGTGTATTTGACATCACCCAATAGCTTTTGAGAGCTCTATATGACATGATTCCCAGGCTTATCTTGTATACTTTCTGACCTAGACTTGGAGTTAAATGTTTCTCCATTGTGTGTTAATTCTTTCAGTAGGAAATGGTGTTTAAGGATCATAGTTCAGGTATAAGAGTGATCATTGTTAAAAGGTTGTTATTACTTCTGGGCCTGAGTAAACAAAGTAAGTGATAATTTTTTAAGAAAAATTCATTTATTTATTTGAAAGAGTCACAGAGAGAAAGATTTTCCATGTATTTATTCACTCCCAAGATGGCTGTAATGGTCTGCACTGAATACATTATTTTAAAGTATATCATTGATGACAAAAATCCTGAGTTTCATAAGAGAAAATAACACAAATATAAATATATTTTACATAAATACATATTACATATGTGTACATAGACTGTCTATACATATAACCTATATAAAAATGAGACCACATTGCTGCTAATTTTTAACATTTTTTCCTTTTTTAAAAAAATTTTTAATTTGAAATAGAGATCATCTTTCCATTGATTCACTCTCCATATTCTTCCAGTAGCTAGGATTAAGCCAGGCTGAAGCCAGGAGTATAGAACTCCATCTGGGTTTCCCATATGGATGGTAGAGACCCAAGTACTTAATTCATCATCTGCTGCCTCCTAGAATGCACATTAACATGGAGCTGGCACCAAAGCAGGCACTCTGACAGGAGATGCAGGCATCCCAAGCATGCTCTCAACTGCTACGCCAGATGCCCTCTCCCAAAATGTATTTTTATAATGAGAGAATTTGCGTTTTTGTTTTTTTGTTTTTGTTTTTAATGTATATTCATCCCATCAGTGATATGCTTAAAATAAGATCACTTGAAATTAAACATGATACATAGTTATTTGCTTCCATTTGTTCTTTATTTTTTTGATTATTTAGATGTTTTAATTTGGGGTTTTTCTGTTACAGTTTTTTTTTGTTTTAAGATTTATTGATCTGTTTGAAGGGCAGAGTGACAGAGGGTGAGACAGAGAAGGGGAAAGAGCAATCTTCCATCTGCTGGTTCACTCCCCAAATGCTGCAACAGCCAGGACTAAACTAGGCTAAAGTCAAGAGCCCAGAACTCCATCCTGGCATCCCATGATGGTAGCAAGTACCAAAATAGTTGGGCCATAATTTGCTGCCTTCCCAGGTCTGTTATCAGGAAGCTGGATCAGAAGCAAAAGATCCAGAACTCATCTGGCACTCCCAATATGGGATGTGGGCATCCCAAGTGGCAGCTTAATCTGCTGTGCCTTATTGCCAGCACCATTATATAAAACTATTTATGTGGTTTCCCAGTGAAAGAATATGTACTTTTTTCAAGGTACATGAGCACCACTCTAATTTCCATTTTTGTCCATTGCTTCCTATTCCATCTTCCTTTAAAAGTAATAATTTTTATTGGTTTATTTATTTGAAAGGCAGAGTTACAGAAAGGCAGAAGCAGAGAGACAGAAGTCTTCCATCTGCTGGTTCACCAAACGACCGCAACAGCCATAGCTGGGCCAATCAGAAGCCAGGAGCTTCTGGTTCTGCAATGCAGGTGGTGGAGCCCAAGGACTTGAGCCATATTCTGCTGGTTTCCCAGACCATAGCAGAGAGCTGGATAGGAAGTGGAGCAGCCAGGACTCAAACCAGCGCCCATAAGGCATGTCAGCATTGCAGGCAGTGGCTTTATCCGCTACACCACAGTGCTGGCCCCACAAATACATATTCAAGTGCTTATTTCTACCCTTCCTTGCACAGAAGATAACATACTAAATATTCTCACGTTGCTTTATTTTAATAGTTCCTAGAGATCACTCCTATGACACTATATATATAGAGAGCTTCCTTGTTTATTTTTTCCTTACTCCTTTTATCACCATATGGTAATGCAATATATAGATAATGTACTCATTTTATTATTGATGCCATTTGAGATGTTTCCAGTGTTTTGCTTTTAAATAGTAGTATTTTATTAGGAATAGCTTGTTCAGTTTTCTCTCTTTGCCAGATAAGATTTTGGATTATTGGATCTATAGATGAACAATAATGCCAATCATGTTGGATTAAATATAAGAATTATTACCTTTAAATTTTAACTATTTTGCTATCCTATCAGCTTCACTAACAGATACTTCCATTTTCTCAGTTTGATAAATATAAAAAGATATTTCATTGCTGTTTTAATTTGCATTTCTCTTATTTTTTTGTAATAGGCTTTTTTTTGCTAGTCTTCGTAATATCTAACAATATCTTAATATCTAATAATTGATGGTTATTTCATTTAGTAGACTTATTGTTATTAGCCGGTTATGCCCCTGCTAGTAATTTTAGCTGCTTTTACTGTGGGTAAGTTAGGGTGCTGTTCTGACCATATATAAAAAAGTACATAATATTGTTTTAAATTTTTTTATATTTTAAATTTTTTCAAAGATTTGTATATTTGACAGTCAGAATTATGGAGAGATCTCCTCCGTCCACTGATTTACTCCCCAGATGGCTGCAGTTGCCAGAGGTGGGGCAAGGCAAAGCCAGGAGCTTCTTCTGTGTCTCCTTTGTGGGTGCAGGGACCCAAACAATTGGACCTCCCCTTCTTCTTTTCCCAGACTTTAATCAGGGAGCTGGACAAGAAGTAGAGTAACCAGAACATGAACTGGTACGCATATAGGATGCTGGTATCAAAGGCAATGACTTTAACCTGCTACATCACAACTCCAGCCCCTATTTTCGATTATTTTCTTGGTAAATTCTCAAAAGTGGATTACTAAATTAAATATGCGACTTTTTGAGTGATTTTTAAGAACACCATTTTTCAGTTTATGTTTGGAAGACAATATATAAAATCTTTACCATAATTTCATTAAGTGGTATTTTTAAAAATTCTTATATGTTTAAAAGAATATCTTTTTTAACTTTATATGGTAAAATTTAGACTTTTCTGAATTTTCTTTACTAATTTATTTCATTTTATCATTGATTTTATTTGAAGTGTTATTAAATAGTAATGTCAAGTCAGTTTGTTTCCAGGAAAGTTCATAAAAAGGTCTCCTACATATGTGTAGGATATAGTTGATATAGCTCAAAGGCTTATCTTAAGTAAAAATTATATGTAGAGAGTCTAGGAGGAAAACTGGGGAAATAGTTAAAAAATCACTTCAGAAAACATATTATCCAGTTAATCCTATATTGCAGTTTGTAGCCGTTTGCTTTTGCTTTTCACAGGGGGATTTTGGCACTCAGAAAGAAGCTGCTTGGGCCATAAGTAACTTAACAATTAGTGGAAGGAAAGATCAAGTAAGTTAAGCTTTATTTCTCAAAACTAATCAAATAACAGTCCAAATAATCCTATGATTTAGAATTAGGTAAATCATAATGTAAGAAAAATAGTAAGAAAGCAGGCATTCTGTTATTTTTTTCCCCTATATAAAAGTATCACCTTCACTTCTCTTAGGGATATTCTGTTGAAGAGAAATGTTCTTCCAGTCATCAACCTATAATAATTTTCTAATCCAGGATAAGATTGAGGCTGCTATAGTCACGGGTTTTGTGTATGTGTGTGTGTGTGTGTGTGTGTATTCCTGTGTTCACAGAACATACTTTTTTTTTTAAGAAAGAACAGACTATTTAAGTTAGTTAATATATGGCAGGAAGAAACAGCTTTATAAATTGTCCTAATAAATGAATGACAACACGGAAGCAAAATAAAAACAGCAACAGCAATAAACAGATTCACCAACAGCAAGTCAAACAAGCAATTAACCATCAGCCAGGTGTCTAAGACTAGTAAGTAGAGTGAGAAATATGAGGTGACTGGAATGTAAAATTGAAAGGCTATTCAGAGGCCTGTAAGTAACAAAACTTAAGCTGTGCCAACTGGCAAAGAAACAGTAGTGTTATTAAAAGGCTCAGATCTGTTTCACAGAGCAGGTAAAGAGGGTGACTTCAGAGCTAGGTGACAGTAGATTCCCAGAAAGCAGTGGCCTGGTGATGAGCAGTGAATTCACTTAAATATGAATACAAAAAATAGAAATAATAACATAAATAATGAAATATTTAAGTGATTGTAAAATATTACAAATATAATAGTGAATTGAGAGGTAATCAGGCATGTGAGAGTGCTAAATATTACAGCAAAGCAGCCCGTGATGCCATCACATTGACCATTGTAATTTTTAAAAATAATACCTTTTCATTTCAATTTTTTTCTAAATTCAAGAAAAATAAGCTTGCTATATGTCAAAAGGAGCTTAATTTGGGTTAATTTATCGTGTGAGAGAGGAGATTATGTGTCCATGCTCAAAATTCCAAAGTCAAAATGATTCCAGTGAGATGATATGATACACAGACAGTTAACCTACATTTTATATTTCATGGTGTTTTTATTTGTCAGGTGGCCTACCTTATCCAACAAAATGTTATCCCACCTTTTTGCAACTTGTTGACTGTAAAAGATGCACAAGTTGTGCAAGTAGTACTCGATGGACTAAGTAATATATTAAAAATGGCTGAAGATGAAGCAGAAACCATAGCCAATCTTATAGAAGAATGTGGAGGTAAGTTTGTTATCAGCTATTCCAAATTCTAATGCTCTTTTTTTAGCTGCCTTTATTTTCTTGCTAATATAACACTTCTGTATTTTTCTCTCTTAAGTAACAGAATAATGTAAATATTATGTGTAGAATTCTGCTCAGCCTTTTGAATATATATATGCTTAGGTAACTTAATTGCTGCTATAGATTGAACAGGCACTGTGCTAAGGTACTGGGAACATAGTGGTAACAAGACATAATCCTTACCCTCAAGGCATGTAGTCTAGTCTTGGAGATAAATATGAACTGATTTAATGTGCTAATTACCCTAATAGAAATGTACAACAAAATGGGATACCTAATCCATCCTGGAAGAAGCAGGAAGTGGCACCTGAGCTGGATTTTGAGAGATGAATAAGGATTAATAAAGTAAAAAGGGATGAAAGGTGTTCCAGGCAGAGATAACACCATGAGCACAGTCTGAGGTGAGAAATAGCATTCAGCAAATTATAAGTAGTTCAGTGTTGCTGAATCATAAAATATGGGGTAGAAATTGCCAACTTCTAGCTGGAGAAGCAGCCAATAACCAGACCCCTCCAAAGTCTTACAAGCTTTGTAGAACAGCAGATATTTTATGCTATAGGCTGAAATTCCCAAATCTGGCTGTGTACTAGAGCTACCTGGGATTTAAACAACACATACTCGCCTTCAACTCTTAAAGTTATTAACATATAGACAGGACACAAAGTCTCAAATGTGGCTGTGAAACAGATTGTGAATGTTGTCAACCTAGATAATCATAAAAGTAAAAGTATTTAAGACATTATTTGAGAAGTGAATAGAAGGGAAAATAAGTGCAATAGTAGGAAAACCTTTATCTTCAACCAAGTGCGAGAGTTAGAAGCCTGAAAATTAATAAGAAATAGTTGTATTTAAAGTTACTAAAGTGATAAATAGAATAACAAAACATGACATATTACTTTCAAATTAGGAAAAGGGGATGAGGAATATCAAGAACGAATTAGGGAGTAGGTACCAGAAAAGTTAACAAAAGGAATAATTATTTCTACTACTTGATTTTTTTTATTGGCATATAAATATGTTTTAATTGTTAAACTAAAAATATAGGTTCTTGAACATTGCCTACCTTATTGGTGGTGAAACCCAGAAATATGTATTTTGTAAGGACACCAATGGAGTCTGCTTGCTATAGAGTATGGCCAGCAGGTAGAGCATTTTAATGATGTTAGTGGGAGGGGTTGGGTGACATAGGATTTTGAGAATATTATGGGACATCAAAGGAAAGGGGAATTTAGACTTTCTTTTAGATTTGGGTTAATATTGTTTGTCAGCAAGTAAGAATACAGTTGTAGAACAGTTTAAATGAGAAAGATAACAAACTATGGGATAATTTTAGTTCTAAATATCTGTAAAATGTCCTGATGGAATTACCATGCAAGCATTTAAAATTTTTTGCATGAGAAGCTCAGAAAAGAAATAAAGCTGTTCACTTGCAAATCTTCAACCTACATGTTGAAGTTAAGTTTTTTAATGTAAGGATCACCAAAAGGAAAGCACATAGAATGATTAATGAGCCTGCATAACTTCTTCCATTTAAAAAAAAAAGAGGAAAAACTTTGCTTATGAAGGGGCAATTTCACTTTATTTCAGAAGCCTTAAAATATTACTCCTATAAAGCAAAACAAGATCCATTTTGCATGTCAACCAGTTATTTTTTCAGTGTTTCTGCCTAAGATTTAATAAACTGTTCACAGGGAAGGTTCCTTTTTCCCCTGAAATACGGTGATTGATCTTGATCATTTTCCCATACAATTACCAGGTATTTTGAGCATAATATTTGTTAATCATATTAGTATTTCTGATTTTTTTCATATAGGAACACTTCAAAAAGTTCATTAAAAATGAAATTAAAAGTACATATTTAAATGAACTTTTTGAGAATCCCTCACAACTGTTCTCTAGAAAAACTTAGAAGGTACTAGGAAGTAGGAAGATTTTACTTTTTACTTTTAAGAAACAAAAGCAATTTTACATATTGTTTCTATATGTATTGGTTATATATTATTCTACTTAACTCATTATGTCTCATTCTATGTAAAGGACACCTATAAAGACTTAAATTGAGCAATAAATAAACCATTGTGGTACCTTTGAAATAAATATGTCATTGAAATATTCATAGAATTGAAAACTTGGGACTTAATGGGTTAATACAGAGTCTAGATGTCCCATTGCTTACTTACACGTCTACATGAAGTTAGACACTCAAGTTGTTCAATTTTATAATATAAATATGCTATTGTGTATTTCCAAGATTATTACAATTTGTTAAAACATTACCATTGTTTTACTTAATAAAATTTCTTGCAGGACTGGAGAAAATTGAACAACTTCAAAATCATGAAAATGAAGACATCTACAAATTGGCCTATGAGATCATTGATCAGTTCTTCTCTTCAGATGATGTATTTCATAACTTTGTAGTTTTCTTATTTTTATGTAAAAACCTTATTCTAGATGACGTAGGATAGTAAACTACAGGATATGTGTGTGTGTGTTTTAATTAGATAGATGACAGGTAGTGTCACTTGCTTAAAGAAACACCTATGTCAGGATTTTTAAGTCCTTTCAGGGTATATTAACTCTTATGGCAAAATGATAATTTTTTTAAGTTTATTAAGACACACATTTTGAACTCTTTGGAAACTTTTTTTTAAAGATTTATTTATTTATTTGAAAGGCAGAGTTACAGAGGCAGAGAAAGGTCTATCCATTGGTTCACTCCACAAATGGCTGCAATGGCCAGAGCTGGGCTGATCAGAAACCAGGAGTTTCTTCTGGGTCTCTCACACTGGTACAGGGGCCCAAGGACCTGGGCCATCTTCTGCTGCGTTCCCAGGCTATAACAGAGAGAACTGGATGGGAAGTAGAACATCCAAGACTCAAATTGGTGCCCATATAGGATGTTGGCACTGCATGCAGCAGCTTTACCCACTATGCCACAGCCTCAGCCCCAAAATAATAATTTTTTTGACACCAGATGAGTCACATTTTATTTAAACTTGATGTATTGATAGTCCTCATATTTTTATTGGTAATAGCATAACATTTATAAATCTGTGATATTAGCATATGTCCTTTAATAAATCCTTTATGATAAAATTTAGGTAATTCACATTTGAATGTTGTCACTTTTATTTTTATTTGGTAACCAAAAACAAATATGAAGAAGATAGATAAAATGAAACTGTTACTGATTATCAGATAAGAGAAAGGTACTTTATAATATAAAATATAGTGTATAAAAATATTTTCAGATTGTCAGTATATATTAGTTGAAATTTATTATTACCTCTTTGGAAAACTAAAAACAGTTGCCTCTTAGAAAAATATAATGACTAAATAGAGCCAACAGTGGATTTCTTGAAATATTTTCTCACCTTTTCAAAGAATGACTCTTATTATATACTCTTCCTCAATATCAAAATAGTAAAATTATGTTATTAATCATTATTTTGTTAAGCATGAATGGTTTGAACATGAACCTAATAAGGAAAATGCCACAAAAGAAAATTATAGGGGCCAGTATTGTATTGCAGTGGGTAAAGCCACAACCTGAAACACTGGCATCCCATATGGGTGCCAGTTCATGTCCCTACTGCTGTACTTTGGTCCTGTTCCCTACTAATGCACACAGAAAAGCAGTGGAAGATGGCTCAAGTGCTTAGACCTCTGCACCCAAGAGAGAGACCTGGAAGAAGCTCCTGGCTTTGGCCTAGCCAGTCCCAGCCATTGAGGCTATTTGGGGTATGAACCAATAGATGGAAGATCTGTTTCTATCTCTTCCTCTCTGTAACTCTGCCTTTCAAAAAAAATAAATAAATCTTTAAAAAAATTAGACTATTTTTAGTTTTGTCCAAGCTAAGGCTTTTTTAGAATATAATGGAAGTTATCAGAAATAAATCCAGAAAAGGAACATTCTCTTAAGAGTAGTTTCTTTTTAAACTTTTATTTATGTGAAAGGCAAAGCAACAGAGACAGATAAAAAGAGATCTTCCTCTCTCCTGGTTCACTCCCTAAATATCTACAACAGCTGGGGCTTGATCAGGCCAAAGCCAGGAGCCCGAAAATCCACCCAAGTCTCCCATGTGGGTTTCAGGGACCATTGAGCCATTGCCTGATGCTTCCTTGAATGCATATTAGCAGGAAGCTGGGTCTGAGCAGAGCTGGGACTCTAATGCAGGCACTGCAATATATGATAAAGGCATCCCTCTACTTAACAATGCCCACTCCTAAGAAAACTTTTATTTCATTTCTTTAAGTTGAATTTTTTCAAGTCCAAATTTGCAATTATGTGACTAACAAAATGAGAAGACCTTATGATTTCTTTTTGTTTAAAAATTTTTGTTTATTTGGAAGACAGAGACAGAAGACAGATCTCCATCTGCTGATTTCTCTCCCTAAATGCTCACAATAGGCAGAGCTAGGCTAAGCCAAAGCCAGGAAGCCTAGAGTCAGTACAGCTCCTCCCATATTGGTAGAACAGACCCAAGTAGGTGTACTACCGCCTTTCATAGTGCACATTAACAAGATGTGAGATTGTAAATGGAGCTAGGACTCAAACCTAGGCATTCCAGTATGGGATGGATACTGGTCTCTTAGTTGCTGTGCCAAATGCCCACCCCAAGGCCAGGAAGTTTTTGTTCTTTCTTACATTGTGGAAAGAGTAATTCAGATGATTTTCTTGATTATAGGAACCACACTGTAGGTTTGTAACTTCATGAATTTCAAGAGTGTTTAGATATAAAGCATGTTGTATATTGTTGGTTAATTAGCAAAACTGTTATTATCTTGAAGCCAAATACCATTCATTTCCAATTATTATTTATAAGTTGACCAGATTGATTATGCTTACTTCCCAAAAGTAGTGGTGTTAATTTTTTAAATGTCATCAACTTAACTTGCTCGGTATAAGGGAAGTAATAGTGAGTACTAGTATATATGTTTTGATTTGAGACCTAGGACCATCTCCCAATCTATTTCTACTATTTGATTATATTAGAAGATAGCCATTCTGCTTATTGTTTCTTCTCATTGTAGTGTCCCTTAAGAAAAAACCTTTGCAAAGTGTATCAGCTTTCTAAAGAATGGTGGGGCAAGATTGACACTTACCTCTCTACAACTTTTTTTAAGGATAGTGAGAATAATGCTATTCTGCAGTTTACTACATACATTAAAACTAATCACATTCTTTTCTTTTTCCCCTTAGATTGATGAAGATCCTAGCCTTGTTCCAGAGGCGATCCAAGGTGGAACATTTGGTTTCAATTCATCTGCCAATGTACCAACAGAAGGGTTCCAGTTTTAGAAAGATGTTGTGGAAGTTAGGTACAATGCAGCACTGAGATATATATATATATATACATATATATAAAAAGGTTTGATCCATCAAGCTTGGCTCATGGGATCTGCTGCTGCATTAAATCGGGAAAGAAAATGTGAAGATTTCATTTGGAATCACAGAAAATGCCCAAATGAGGTCTAGATGGCGAGTGGGTGCGAGTGAGAATGAGTGGCAAATGTAATGAAAACTTTACATGGATGCTTATATAGGTTGTTCAAAGTAAAAAGGGCTACAGGTCACAGATCTTCAGTGCCTGAGAAAGGAACATTGACTTAACTCTATATCAATTGAGGGGAAATGCAGTATTGTCATCTTCAAGCCTTGTAAGCATAAAAGAGAAAAGAATGCCCATATAAGTCAAAGGAACATGAGCCCAGGCCTTGCTATGAAGCAGTGTGTGAGTGGACAATGTTGAATGAATGTCTGGCTCAGTGATAAAGAGCCAGGTTCATCTTTCAAATCTAGGGCTCTTCACTCATGAAGCAGACTCCTAGTCCTGGAGTGACTGTGTACGAGAGTGTGGTTGTGGTGCTGTATGTGAACGCATGCAAGCTTGATTCGCCTTCAGGGGGGCTGATAACAAACCTAGTAAATCATCAGAGTGAGATCATAAGTGTTATTGTACACTGGACATGAAAACAAAGACCGGTTTAGCAGCAGACATTGGTTTACTCTGCAGCCTGTGTTTTCTATTTCCTCTATTCCCTTTCCCCATCCCACCCTTTTTTTTTTTTTTTTAATTTACTTTACCTAATATGGCTTTTTTTTTTAGTTGCTTCTCAAGTCAGAAAACTTCAGGAAGGTTTCCCTGTGCATTTGCACCAGATGAATGTTTGATGCTATGAAAAGCTTTCCATATCATCAAAACTAATTTGTGTAGATTTTTGCATGAAAAAAATCATAAATTTCCCTCAAAATAGACTGTGTTGCAGTACACAAGTTGCCATAATAGTATAAAAACAGTAAAATGTGCTTAAAAGGCCATCCTTTTCATTTTCAGAGATAACATAAAGATCTTTGCATGAAGTAAATCTACAGCATAGTTCATTTTTAGATTTTGTTGAGTCCTGTAAAGAAGAAGAAGAAAAAAGTTTCAGTTGTGGTAGAATACCGTGCTGTGTTTAAATGTTACTTGTTTTCAAACTTTGTTTTCTATGAAAATGATATGGAAACTTCTAAAATGGAATTTGGTGCATATGTACTGCTGAATAAAGACCGATGAAGAGGTTTGAGTAGATGTACAAATCAAGTAATGGTTTGAACACCTTTAATAATATGCCTAATCTGTTCAATTGTTTTAGAATCTTTTTATCTTAGATGTAGGCAGCCATGAACAATCTATTTTGAGCCACTTTAGAGAGAAAACTTTGTATTTTTAAAACTTGCATAAAAGTTATGCAAGTGGTTTTTATAAATTGGAATAATGCCTCAGTTTTGAGGTTATGCACACTAAATTAAATGTGACATAAATTAATTTGTACAAAAAGAACTCTTTATAAGGTGGCTCATTGTAGGAAATCCTGTGCCTTCCCCTTTGAGCACAAGTGTTGCATGAACAACAGTTTGCTATAAGAAACATACCAGATTAGCCACCATTAGCATCTATATCTACTTTGTGTTTAAAAATCAACTGGTAATTCTGAAACACTGTAGAATGGATAAAAATTATTTTGTGATCATAACTCTTTGTTGAACTAGAGTATTTTTGCAGCATTCCTTGTCATCAGAAACATGGTTAAAGTTTAAAACTAGAAGCAGCAGAAAACTAGCTTGTAAAATTTATCCAAGTAGACTGCAGGCTAGGCTGTCTTGGGGAAATAAACATTAAAACTTAAAGCAATGTTTTACATGGGATGTGTGTGTGTGGTGTGTGGATTTTTTAAATGTTAATCTTTAAATTAGACTATAACTCAGTGAATGAATTAGCTTGTTGTCTTTCTTAAGCTCTTTACCTAGGGCCAACAAAACAAGAAATCTCATTCTGTAATTTCAATATGTACATACTAATATTTTGGCCCACTGAATTTGCTCAGTTGACACGGTCTATGCTTCTGCTTTCTGTTTGTCAAAGCCAAGATTTTAACCTTCCTTCACTTTCCCAGCAAAATAGACTGAGAGAAAGAATATGAGCTGTATTTTATCTCTGAACCCAACTTCAACATGTTTCCAGATGATAGATTATATACAAAGGGTGGTTTATATAGAAGACTTTAGTTCCTAGAAGATAAATGCAACATTACTTTACATAATTCTTGTTTTTAGTAAAGAAAAATCTGGTTCAAAGTCAGTCACTGAGTTTTTGCTAGGCCAAATGATTTTTATAGAATATCCTTTTTTATAAAATAGGTAGGGTGATATTATGATAATAATTTGAGTATAAGGACTACCTGATGGTCTAAATATTTTTCCTGTGATCTTGTATGGGGACATAAATTTTCTAATAGAATTCTGGGAAAGGCTTTGGCGTGTCTGAGATTGTTTCAATACAGTTAACAGTTCACCAGAGTTACCTGGTTTAAACACAACTTTTTAAATTCTCCGTCTAGGTAATGGATTTATTTTTAACAAACCATTACTCTGATGGTAGGGGTAGGTGTTGGGGTGGGAATGGAATAATAAGCCTGTGTCCCTGATTTTTTTTTTCATCTTAGGACTTCTGTTGAGTATGGTGCCCTTCTCACATGCTTTAAAATAAGAATGTGGTATTAGAAGTGTGTCAGAAGGCTTAGTATCTGAAAGAATTTGGGAGCTGTGGAGGATGGTTTAGTTTAGGCTTGCCTTGGCTTCAATTCATAAGTTGAGAGGCTTTGTTCATTTCTTAAAATGTACGGCTACATGATAAAATGACTTTATTATAACTTAGGAGGTGCTCTTTTTCAACTCTCCATTGCCTCAGTTCTCAAGAAAAAAAGCTGTAGAAATTAAGCTAAGTTTTGCCTTTAAACACTAATTGCTGCATGAGGCTACTTGAGAAAATTAATGAAAAATGGAATTAAAAGGTAAGTTTATTTTGGAGCAAGAAAATTTTGAAATTATTCATAGAAGGGATGGTCAGGTTCATGGAAAATGCATATTATGAAAAAATATGCATATGAATCACATCTGTTGGGATCTTCCTTTTGGAATCCTAATTGTACATTTAAATTTTCTTATTTGGGGAAAGGGTAGAGGATAGTGCATATATTTATATTTTTTTTAGGAACTAGATTTACTGTTGCCTTTTTTATTTCACTATATTCTTCATAAAGAGATCCACTACAATTGCAAAGAGAAAATTACACATAAAGTTTAATTACTTGCTAACATTAAAATCATTATTCAGTAACTGATTAGTAAAGTTCTACATAATAATACATGGGTAATTCAAAAAGTAAATGGAATTTAGGAGTAAGTTTATTTGGATAAGTATTTGACTCAAGCCACTTAGGAAGCCTGCATCTTAGAGTGTCTGGGTTTGAGTGTTAGCTGTTCTGCTTCCAATTCCAGTTTCCTAGAATGTGTACCCTGGGAGGCAACAGGTGAGGACCTAAGGACTTGACTTCCTGCCACCCAAGTGGGAGATGAGGACTTAGTTCTGAGCTGCTGGTTTCAGCTTATCCCATAACTGCAGGCAGGTGGAGAGTGAACCAGTGGATAAACCTGTGGATTCCCTTCTCCTCCCTGTGTTTTAGTTGTCACAGGGTTTTTCTGTGTCATATTTGCTATGCTGGGTGTGTATACCAGAGAATCTTAAGAATCATCTTTAAGAGTTTGCCTACCACAAGAGGTATCACTACTTTAAACTGTAACAATTTGGAAGTGATCATCTCAATGTGGTGCAAGCTTATTTTTAGACCAGGGTTGCCTTTGATAACCAAATCAGAAAAAGTATACATAATGCAGTTTTTATATTTTTATTAGGGAATTCATAGGAGTCCGTGGATTACAGAGTAAAAATTATCTGTCTCAGCCCCCCCCCCCAAGGTAGGTTGTCAGGGTGATTTGCCTAAGGTCACACAGTTAATAAGGGCCAAATAAGGCCCAGAATTAAACTCCCATACCATGTAGTACTTCCAGTTATTACTCTCAAGTTAATTGTGGATCAATACAAAGAGTATTTCTGCAACTTTTCCTTTGTTTTATATACTAAAGAATGGCTAAAATTCTTTAGCTCTTGCCTAAGAGTTTTGAAATTATTTGATCTGGTTTTTTTTTTTTTTTTTGAGTTCTCAAAATTGAATCTTCCATTAGAGTTATTGAGAAGATGAACTGTAAACAGACTAGCTTAAGCTTAATCAAAAGCAGTTCTATTGTACCTTTTTTTAAAAAAAATTTCTTGATTACTTTATTCATGTTGCCAAAATTCATTGTCAGCCAGTAATATGACAGGAGGGGAAAATTTTCCAAATTTGGTCCAAAATTTGTCTGATCCAGTATTATCCCAAACAGCAAATCTATGCCTCACAACTTAGTACTCTGAACATCTAAAGAAAAAAAATCCTCACAAATACAGGTGAGAAAAATGATTTGTAGAACCCGTATTTCAGTGTGATCGGAAGCAACTCTGGACAGTAGCATCACATTTCATATTAACTAGCACATCAGTCATGTACAAGGAAGGTAAAACTTACATTTCTCCCTTAACAACCTAGCAATCCCATCAGTTTTGACTGTTCATTGTAAATCCAGGTTCTTTGGGTGGCTCGAAAAACCTCTTCCAGGATGCCTTTGTCAGTTTGTTTGAGAAATTGACTTAACAGCTACTACTTTGTGTATAGGAGCCACTGATTTCTTTTTTTATTGCTATGTTGTGATTTTTTTTTAAGCCATTCCACCCCTCGTTCCTCCTAAGCCACTGAATGTTAAGGGTGAATGTTCCTACAAACACTTTATGATCTGCTTCCCACCATTAGACTACATTGCTTCTTTATCACTTACATTCTCTTTGCCTCAATATCTCTCTTTTCCTTGGCAAAATTTGTGACTTCTGTAGCTTTAAATATGCTACCTACTCCTGATTATTTAGCTTGGCTGGACTACCAGTTCTTCAGTTTTATTTATGAAGAAACTTTGTAATGTTTCCACTTAGCTTTTCTGTGCACTTGAAGCATGAATCCTACCTCTCATGACCATTTTTACCTCCTATCTGTAGTTAACGGATTCCTTGACTATGGTTACTCCTCTAATTTTACCCAAGATTCCTTGTAGCCTGTTCTAACTCTTAATTTGAAACAACTTACAGAAGTGTCTGATCTGCATCAATCTACGTGCTTTGCTAGCGCTCTCAATCCAGTTACTTGCCTTTTAGGTAATTCTCTGTCCTATCTTGTCCTTTGTAATCTGTGATTCGGTGCAGTTCTAACATAATGATATTCTCTCCCTTTCCCTCTTCACCCTCCTTCCTTCTCTTTTTTTTTTTTTTTTTTTGTTTTGTTTTGTTTTGAGATAATATTTTAAATTTGCATTATAGTTTTTTTTTTAAAAAAAAGGCTTGATATATCTTAATATATCAGTGAATAAGTTTAACAAGTAAAAAGACCCTAGAGTATAGACAATAGCTATAAATAATAATTGAGTAGAAAAATGACCATTTCACCTATATATAATAAGTTTTAAAGTAATCACAGATCATGAAAACTATGGTAGTACAACATGCTTAACCATTGCCATTGGTTTGACAAAAGTTTAAAGTTCAGAAAACTAATTGCAGCAGTGGGGTACAGCAAAAGCAGTATTAAGAAGGAAGTTTATAGTATTATGTGCTTCCATTAAAAAGAAAAACTCAAAGATCTAATGCATCTTGAAGACTTAGAAAAACAGTAACAGGGGCTGGTGCTGTGATGCAGTGGGTTAATGTCCTGGCCTCAAGTGCCGGCATCCCAATGGGCACTGGTTTGAGACCCAGCTACTCCACTTCCAATCCAGCTCTCTGCTGTGGCCTGGGACCCTGCACCCATGTGGGAGACCAGGAAGAGACTCCTGACTCCTGGCTTCCGACTGGCACAGCTCCAGCTGTTGCGGCCGATTAGAGAGTGAACCATCAGATGGAAGACCTCTCTCCCTCTGCCTCTCCTCTCTGTGTAACTTTCAAATAAATCTTTTTAAAAAAGAAAGAAAAAGTAACCAAATCCGAAGTCAGAAAAAGGCAGAAAGTAATAAGGATCAGAGCAGAAACATGAAATTAAAACTAAAAACCAATGAAACAAAGTTTGAGAAGATAAAATGGATAAATTAGCCAGACTAACAAAACTCAAAATTATTAGAGATAAAAAGGAGACATTGCAGTCGACACTTCTCAAAATTATTAGAGATAAAAAGGAGACATTGCAGTCGACACTATTGAAATAAGAAGGATCATAAGAAACTGAAGAATCATATACTGCCAAACTGCAAAGCCTCAGAGGAATGAATAAACTCCTGGACTCACATTGTAAGAGGATGCAAAGTGTGAAACCATGACCAGACCAAGTTTACTTGAAAATAAGCTTGAGAGGGTCTCGCTCCAGGGTGAAGTTGCCCATGAACACACAGCAGAGAGATTACCTTCCCTTTGAGACAAGTGCTTATAAAGTACATAACGGTGGGAAGGGAATTGGGGTCTGAGCTAAAGCTGGGCTGCCAAGATAGTGGGAGAGCTTGGGCTAGTGCTATAAGTCCTGGGAGGGATTGGGCTAAGGCTGAGCTGTTGAGATAGTGGGGAGAGAGCTTGGGCTGATTAACTGGTTTTTCAAATCATGATGTGTCCAACAAACAAGGCAGGGTGGGTTTATGTTGGGCAGGCAGAGAAAGGGGGCCTACTTGCTGTACCTACTGTGAGGTCAATGTGGATCTAGGGCTTTTTCTTCCTCCATCACTACCATTCAAGATGATGCAGA